TCTGTATCCCCTTTTTTTGTTAAGTTCCATCATTTAAATATTATAGGTGTGTAAACTCAGCAAAATAATCTAAAAGAGTCTGGTAGTCCATAATAGTATTGAGTCTTCCGCTTCACTGGCAATGTCAGAAATTGTTGACCTGAGTCCCCTACAGCTCAACATAACAGCATGGCTTTACATCTTATATTTCGTTTTTATACTTTTCTGCTGGATGGTTAAGACCAAGGTAAAGCAGGACTTATGCAACAAGAGTTGTAGCTTTTGGGTCTGATAAGGTCAGTGAAATCTCCTCAGGATTTATCCTGAGATCCTGCACCTCAGATTGTAGAACCTTTGTCAGTGTCAGCCATGTGGATGAGTCACGGCCATTGCTTGGCCAGTGTGCTCTCTGTGAAAGCCTGAGAGAATGTTTTCTCTCCATGTGACTCTCCTTAGGCACACTCTACATCATCGATCACTTTCCTCTTTGGCCCCATAATCTCCTTGATCAGAAAATTTGGGACACTACTGATTTACATGACGTTACAGTACAAGTTCTCATATGTCCTGAGTCTTAAGTGGTCTTGGAAGGCTAGGGCCAAATGTTGGCTTTCCTTGCAGCCCTCCTTTTTCTCTAATTTTGGTCTGTATTATTGTATATTCTTAAACAAGATAGAGTATCTTCTACTAAATTAACTCTCAGAAAAGAGGGAGTCCTTAAAAGACTACTTTGTGCTAGAATTATTTTAAGTCATAAAGAAGTAAGCAGTTTGTCCTAATGTTGTGCAAATGTTTGTGTATAATGTAAGATTGCCTAGTAAGGGTTTATGGCATTATTTCCATTTTACAGATTAGAATATTGACGCTTAGGGAAATTAAATGATTAGTCCACAGTCATGCGCCTAGTGTTATGGGCAGGATTCAAACCTAGGCAGTTGGTCTTACTCCTACACTCACACCATTAGTCTTGCTGAGATTCCTACTTTTGCCTTTAAAAAGGTTTCAATCTGAGGTGTCTCTGATCTTTTTCTTTGTTCTTATGAAGGTTCCATTTTCAGAGCAGAGAAGATTAAAAATGGATGTGCATCCAGTGGTGTAGAGCCATGCTTTTATGGGCAGCACCAGAAAGACTAGTTTCCCTACCAAGCCAGGTGGCACAGGGTCCCTTCCCCCTGCTGCCTTCTCAGCAGATGATAACCTTGTGTACCTCTGCCAAAAGTAGAGAGTTTGCTGGTTCTGGATCAGTCCTGTATCTTGGTTGATAGTTCTTATTGTAAAGAGTTCTTCCTCACACTGAGTTGAAATAGTCTGTCTTGGAATTCTCATAGTCTATCAAAAAGGAAATCAAAATGTACCTGAATTTATATTATAAGCATGCTTCTCTTCCTTGCCTTCTCAGTAATGAGTTTTTATGTTTTTTGTTATTGTTGTTTGTTTGGCAGTACCAGGGATCAAACTCGGGACCTTGAATGTGCCAGGCAGGCACTTATGTTGAATATGATTTTTTTAAAGAATAGTTTTAGATTTATCAGAAAATCCCCAAGGTAGTGCGGTTTTTCAGTATATGCCTCATTTTATTTTGTATAGCCAAAGAACGTTTGTTAAAACTAAGAAACCAACACAAGTACATTACTATTATTTATAAACTCTAGACTTGTCATAACTCTTTAAAACTCTAGTATTTTCATTTAGAGGGTCCTTCTCTGTTCTACCATGTCATCCAGGATGGTGTGTTACCTTTAGTAGTTATGTTTCCTTAGTCTCATTTACTGTGTGACTGTTTTTCAGTCTGTCTTTGTTTTAATGACTTTGACAGTTTTAAGAAGTACTAGTTGGACATTTGATAGAATATTCCAATTCAATTGTCTTTTTTTTGTTGTTGTTATGATTAGACTAGGGTTATGAGTTTTGGGGAAGAACATTGTAAAAGTGATGTCATTTTTTGGGATATCAGTGTAACCTAGAGCGAATTATAGTAATCTTGATGTCCTAGTTAAGGTAAATTATTATTCTGTCATTGTTATTGTTATTGTGTCCTTTTCCTTTTCATACTCAAGTTTTTTTACAAGCAGATCACTACGTGTGGCCCATATACAAGAGGTAGAGAGAACTAAACTCCACTACTTCTGCAAGGGGTGAGGATCTACATAAAGTTATTTGAAATTTTATACAAATATTTTTTTGTTCCCCACATTTGTATTTATTAATGTAGTCACTCATGTCAGTCTAAACTGATACGTATTTATTGTATACTTTGTGTTGTAAATATTACTGTGTTCATTTTGTTGTTCAAGTTGTTTTACCTCTGTTCAGTGGGACATCGTTCAGTTTGTTACAGTGTCCTTTTGAACTATTCTTAGTCTTTTGTTTTTTGATCACTTGCTTACTTTCTGGGGTCCTCTTATGTTTTCCTGCCCATCCTTAGTATTAGTTTTCTCTTTTGGAATCTCTGATTCCTTTTATTGAAGAACATTAGAAACTGCAATCTGGCCTCCTGGTTTGCTCATTGATGATGAAGTGTCATGGCTTTTGAGTCATCTCAGTGGACAGAGTTAGGAAGTATATCTATATATGTCAACCCATGTTACATGTGTTCCTGTAGTTACTTCTGTAGCGGTCCATCTTTATGTAAAGAATTTCATGTTTTGAAAATTTATACTTTCCTAAGGAGTCAAAAATAAGAGTAGAAATTGCCTCCATCTGCCACCACTGGTAAAGTAAACAGAAAGGGAGGTGGGGAGAAAGCGGAGATGTGAGCATAATGTGACTTCGTGCTCTGATACTGCTAGTTGGAACATGGCATTGTAACAGAGATCATAAGAGGTTACAGACTAGTTAATAGAATGCTCAGAAGTGGAATCTGGCTTTCTGAAACAGAATTTTAAAAAATTTTATCATGTTTCTTGTCTCTTTAAAACTGGTTGGTGATCTGGCTTTGTATTAAATTCAGTTATTGATTTGGTAAGATGCATTAGCAGACCTAGGATGTAATTTTAGAAATTTGTGTGCACCACAGAAGTCTGCTAGAGCAGCACTCATGAAGGACTTTGCCCTCTAGCACATAACTTGGGCCCACAACTTGAAAATGAAATCTTGAAGGCCAGATGTTAGTGAGTGATTATTTTTTTTACAAATAATTTTGATGATTATCATACCTAAGTTTATTTTTCTATCTTTTTAAAAATCCTTTTCTTGGGAGAGAACTATAGAACTCCATAGGATAAAGATTTTATGCATACACCTGCTTTTTAGAAATGGGATGTAAAACAATGAAAGAACCTGCTTATTGTCATCCAAGGAGTTGATGATAGAGTAAAAAGCAAATATGCAAGCAGCAACCTTTTTTTTTTTTAACAGGCCAGCCACATGGCTCCTTTCCTTTAAATTACTTTTGGCAGCTTGTAAAGCAAAGAAAGGACCCTTGAGGATTCATTTGCAGACACTCCTGAGCTACAAGACCATTCTAGGATGGCCCAAAACCTTTTGGCCCTTATTGCTTTTGAGGAGCATGTGTGTTTATACTTGCTAAATCATATCTTGTCACCGTATACCAGGAAACCAAACAAAACAACTCTGTTCTTTTCCATTTTTACCTTATCTAGTTCAAAAGACTTAGGATTTTGTTTTTGTTTGGTACATCGTGAACATCCAAGATAGTCAGTGGAAATAAATGGTAACAGCTGCTTTTTGTGTATAAAGTATTTATAATTGTGAATCGTAACCTTGACACAATCTATCCAAATTTTTCCAGGTATGAAAATGACTAGAAAAGCTCACTTAGGGTGACCATCCCAGTATGAAACAACATCCAGCTGTTTGCTGTTAACTTTCCCTTCATGGAAAGAGTTTTTTAACAGGTCTCTTTCTAGCCTGCTCTTCCCTTTTAAACATTGCTTATCCTATAAAGTGGTGCATGTCTATACACAAAATATGCTCCTTGGGGGTCTCGTCTTCTTTTCTGGTCTTATTTTCCTTTGTGGCACTTCCTATGGAGGTGCTCTGCTACACTCAATATTTTATTTCTTTAGCTTTTAAATTATCTGCTTTCCCCACTAGAGCATAAACTCCATGAGAGCATAGAGTTTGTTTTGTTCACTGCCTCATCCCTAGACCTAGGATAGTAACTGGGACATAGTGTATATTCAGGGCATGTGTCTGGATGAATAATGTAAGCTACAAGTTCTGAGAATTTGGCTTCTGATTTGAATATCAATATAAGCAGTGGAGTTTTATATTATAGATAAAATTAAGTTATATTATTTAAGGTGAGGATTATCTCTTCATCAAAAATTTCCGAATTTATGCTAGAAATATGTATAGTTGAAAGTTACTCCAGTAATGCAGCGCTGGTCTCACATGCCAGGAATTTTGAAATCCTCTAAGTATTGCTCAAGAAGTTGGTGAAGAGCTGAAAATATATGTGTATATTTAATTTTAAATTGAATTACCCTTAATTCACGTAAAGAACTCTAGAACCCAAAGTAACTTCATCTAATTTGATCCCTTATTCTAGTCACCAGAGTTAGCAGAAAATGATTATTTGTTGTTATAAAAAAATTCATACAGTACTTGCGAGTATAGAGGATATTAAAAATAATGTGCTATAAAACCTGAGGTGATTCCTTTGAAGGAGGGTCAGCACTCATTTGTAAGGGTAGACCTGATAAATATGTTGTTTAAATCATATTATTTTTACAAATGTATTGTTTTTATCCAAAATTCCAAGTGTCTGAAGTACTTAACATCTTTTTTTACACTTAAGGCCTCTTATTTAAACAGTAGTAAGATCATGTTAGAGGGACTGCGACTTTACTAGTTATTTTATAAACTATGCCTCTTAAAACAAATTTCATGCCAGACTTTTGCAGTGTCTCTCCAGGACAAATAAACACACCAATAAAAAGGAGTATGGTCACTGGACGTTGTAGACTTGTTTGCAGGCTATATTCTACTAATGTGGTGTGTCAGTCATGTTTCTGTATGAGACTAATATGTTTTCCTCTGATCATGTTCTATTTCAGAGCATTGGGGAGTCAGGGATGTCTGTTGTGTTAAATCAGCTGCTGCCCATGTGTAAGCCATCAACTCAGAGGACCAGTGATGATTATGGCCCCGAGGAGCTGCTGATCCTCCTCATATACATTTACTCTGTCTTTGGAGAGTTCACAGTGGACAAAGACCTGGGAGAAGCTGAAGAAAAAGTGAAGAAAGCATTGGCTCAGGTCTTCTGTGAGGAATCTGAATTATCACCTTTGCTGCAAAAAATCACAGGTGAGTGTTAAGCAAAGATGAGTGCTGAACAAAAACACTGATACAGAAAACAGGTTTAAAGGTAGATGGTTTCAGGAAGAGTTATGTGTCCATATCTAGTGAAGGTGTTTGGAATTCTGTGGGGTCTTATTGATTCTAGCCATCTTTAAGAATTGGATTTTCATCACGTAATGCTTTTCTTTTCTAGTCATGGTCATAAAATGACCTAAGTGTTTGTCAGAATTCATATCCTTAGAGTAAAAACCTTCTTAAAATTGGAGAATACTCATACAAATAGTACCAAACTTTAAGGAAAAAATAAAATGTAACCAATCTTACACAAAGTGTTTCTATTAACATATTTCTTCAAGATTGTTGTTTTTGTCTCAAACTATAAAACTACAGCAGTATCTTGGTTCACTTTATTTGTTCTACAGTTTTGAAGAAGATGGTAGCAGTTGTGCTTGTCACCCTATGTAGAGTATGTGAATGGAAGCAAAATTTTGTCAAAAGCTTTTGTTTGAGAACTAAATTGCTTGTGAACAGAAGCATTCATGAACCAAGGCATTACAGCATTCCTTCAAGATGTTGCATAATGTAATATGATTAGAAAGTGACATTTTCAGGAATAGTTTTATGTTTTGACTCACCACATTTAATTTGAATTTGAATTAATAGCTACTATTTAAAATGATACCCTAGGGGCTGGGGATATAGCCCAGCAGCATAAGTGCCTGCCTGGCAAGTGTAAGGTCCTGAGTTTGATCCCCAGTACCAAGAAAAAAACGATACCCTAACAAAGTAGGCTCTGCTACTTTGTGAGAAATACATAATTAAGCATTATAAAAGTTAACTTATAGCTTCCAGTAAAAACACATGAAGCAATCCATTTGTCTTATGTTATGCAAATTCAATGTTGTTATTTATATTTTGTGTAAGACTGATTTTCATTATATATTGAGCCTATGTGTGTTTGTGGTATGAAGTTATGAAAATAAGTATGTAAGACTTATTTTATACTTAAAAAGTACCAAATTTTCATTCATTTGTGTGTGTGTGTGTGTGTGTGTGTGTGCGTGCGTGCATGTGTGTGTCTGTGCATGCCCGTGCATGTCCTTGTGTATGTGTTCTGGAGAATGTAAATCCCTCCATTTGATGAGCGTTATCTGAGGTAGATTGTGTATCTCTAACTTTTTCTCTGGTTCCAAGTTGACCTTCAACAGCAAGACTATCTAGACTTCTCAGAAGCAAGCTATGCGGCTGTAAACTTTAGTGTTCCATGTGTGTTTACTGTATTTTGTGCCTACTGTTTACTTTTTCTGTGGTTGGTCATGGAAATTTAAACTCTGGTGAGATGGAAACTGAATGAAGTTTCCATAAAAATGTAATACGTATATTCCCTTACTTAATATCAACCTTGCTTGCAAGCTTAAAATGTGCTTAAGCAAAACTTGTAAAATTGGTTCCTATTTCATTAAGCACAGCACTATGTGTGATTACACAGTATGTGACTAGCACCATATGTGTTTGCTTGGCTATAAAAAATATTAACTTAGAAAGGCTTAATATGGTATTAACTGTCCTTAGAACAGAGCTTTGACTCAACGTAAATTTGCATGGTAGTTATCCTTAAAATCCATAATTTCAGAAAACAGAGAACAAGGATGGTATGTTTTCGTGTGTGTGGGAGGGGTAGGTACCAGAGATTGAACTCAGGACCTTGTGTTTGCCCGGCAAACACTTATTCCACTGAGCTATCTCCCCAGCCCGAGGATGGTATGTTTTCAATGAGGCTATTTGAATAGACTTTTATGATCTTCATATGTTGCTATGTTCTTTTTGGATTTGAAGTCATATTTTAATAGTATTTATTTAATATTGACTCAATGTGCTCATTGACCAAGCAGTTAATTTTTTATTAGTTTCTTTATTTATGTTTTTTTCAGGATATTACATTTTTTTTTTGCTTTTAAAACACTTCTGTGCATTCATGCTTATGAGAATTTCTATAAACTCAGAAGTTGAAAATTAAAAAATAAGCAATTTGTGGAAATTTTATGTTTTTAAACTTAAAGAGGTCTTATAATATTAAGTATGCACTCATGCTTATGTTAAATTTGGGTATATAGCTTAAATAGTATGGAGAAGATATGTTACTTAATTTTGGAATAAATGTATTAACTATTGGAGTATGAACACACAAAAAAACATGTGCACATGCATACATTTGTCTCCCTCTTTAGATATAGAAAGTACTTCTGAAGTTAGATTTATTTGGCCAGGATTGTGTTGTAAAGACAAATGTCCTGCAAAGTAGATTTTTATAACTAGTTAGCTGCTTAAAATGTTTCATTTATATCTTAGAATAAAAAATAGAAAGTATAGTAGTACAACCACTATGGAAATCAGTATGAAGATTCCTCAAAAAACAAAGTAAAACTAAAAATTCCGTTCATCCCAGCTTTTCCCTTCTAGGTATTTTCCTGAAGGTGTTAAAGACATCAACTATAGTATATACATATATATATATTTTTTTTTTAAACCAGCACAATTCATAATAGCTAAATATTAGAAGCAGCTTTTATGTTTATCAACAGATAAAGAAAAAGTTGTATTTATATGTAATGGTGTATAGTAAGTTCCTGCAATATGAATGAGATATTTTCTGGGAGATTATGCATAAGTCAGATTTGTTTGTAAGTCTAACAAAATAAGTTTTATACACTTTTGACAGAAGTATACAGTGTAAAGCATAGAAAGCCAAACACACCAAATATAGTAAATCCCAACTATACTGTACTACCGTACACTGTCACACTTTACAGTAAGCACACAGCCGCACAACAGTGAGTGTCGGGCAGACATGTGAGCTACTTCTGTGATTTGATCTAGCAATGTTCATGATATGACTTCTGTTTGCATGTGTGAAAGTTCTCAGTGTTCGTTGGGACTTAGTGACTACTCTGCCATATATAAGAATGAACTTTTGTCATAGGAAAGTGGATGTACCTTGAACCACAGTGTTAAGTAAAATAAATCAGACACCCAAGCTTAAATACTGTGTTATTGCTTTTATCCAAGAAGCCCAAAATATAACAAGCACAATAACAGACAAATAATACGAAACGAGGAGATAGATCTTTTGCAGATAAGAGGGGAACCAAAAGATGGGCAGATGGGGGGGAGGAGATGTAAAATGAATTAAAATATGTTTACATTCCACATGAAGAATGTAGTTACTATCAACATTACTGCTAAAACATAAAAATTGAGTAAACATAGCAAAAAAGAAGAAAAAATGAGAGTATAGTTTTGGGTCAGTTTTGTGAAAGAGGAGGGAATATCTTAGTATGTACCAAAAAGTTGAATTATCTTCTAAATGTGCTCAGTATATCCTGGAAATGGGAGTACCTAGCTTTTATAGTGAAACTTGCCTACAGTGTCACATATTTTACTCCAATGCATAGTCTTGAGTGTCTTGTTACTGAGAAGCAGAGTTTATTTTAAGCCTTGCACACATTTCGTTATCAAAGAAAATTTTGTTAGAAAGAATAATTGGACACAGGCAAGAAACAATATAAAAATTTTACTTTTGATTTAGTGTCACAGTTTTACCTTCCTAACTTTTGATGGAATAAAGAAAGCAATCATTTTTCTATACTAAAACCTTAAATGTGCTAGGTGTGGTGGTCCATGCCTACAATCCCACACTTGGGAGGTGAAAACAGAATTGCCATGAGTTCAAGGTCAGCTTGGATTACAAATTGAGACCTGTCTCAACAAAACAAAACAAAACAAAACAAAACAAAGCACAACCTTAAACATGTATCATCTTTCAACTGCTAAGTGATAGAACTAGGATTTAAGCTCTAGTATTTTACTTATGGAACCAGAACTTCTCTAACCATGAAATTTGAAACCTGTAACAAGCCTGCTATAATCACCACATTCGCTATATTCAGTCATTCTTGTTTATTCACATATATTGTTTCATGTCGTACATGTTCAACATACAGTCATTTTAGTACCGGAACAGAAAATTAATGTTCTGGTTAATATTAGAGATATCACCTATGCTTTTAAGTTTGTTTATATTAGCTACTTTTATTTTTTTTTTTGGCAGAACCAGGGATTGAACTCAGGCCCTTGCGCTTGCCAGGGAAGCGCTTATTCCACTGAGCCATCTCCCTGGTCCCTATTAGCTACTTTTAGATGTCTCCTATTCCTATTTTCCTGTTTTCATGTATGTATCTTTTTTTTTCTTTCTGCATTGTTTCAAAGAGATTACAAATATTATTTCTACCTATTAAAATCTATTGATTTGTGTACCTTTTAAAACAGAAATCATAAACCTAAATTATCTTAATTACTTTTTTTAATTGTTGAGACAAAATGCTTGATGCCCAGAGTTAAAGCAGGAAGTTTTTGTTGTTGTTTTTATGTATTTAGTACAGGGTCTACATGGTCTTACTATGCAGATTGTACTCATAGTGATTCTCCTATTTTCAGCCTTCCAAGCGCTAGGATTAAAGGAGTGTGACTACCATGCCCAGTCTCAATTGCTATTTCAGTGTGCCCCAGGGGCAGGGCTGGCACTGCCCTTGTGCTCTGCCTAAGCAGGTGCTTTAATCTGCTGAGATATCTGGCATGCCCAAAGCAGGAAAGGTTTATTTAGCTCACAGTTTGTAGAAGTTTCAGTCTATAAGCAGCTTTTTCCAAGCAGGGTAACTTGGTAAAGGAGAACCATTTATGGTGGACAGACTTGTAGTAAAGCAACAAGTGCAAAACTAGCCTCCTGTCACTTATATTTTATCCAGTGTACTGGGATTAAGGTGGTGTCCTAATTTAGTAGTTTAGTAATCACACACCCTTAACCCTAGCATCTCACCTTGAATCAGTCATACACTGTAGATTGAATCACCTCTGAAAAAGCCTCACAGATGACATTTAAACACCAATCATAATCTAAATTCTATTTATTTTGTTAATATTTTTTAGCAGTAATTGCTCCATACTTACAA